GTGTGTGTGTGTGTGTGTGTGTGTGTGTGTGTGTGTGTGTGTGTGTGCGCCCGCCCGCAACAGGTGTGATGTCCAACTCCTTGAGGGGCTGACATTAAATTTGGCCCAGATGTCCATGATCAGGATGAATTGTAATAAATTAGTTGATCCTCTTGTTTCATCCAGCGCCTCCATCCCATCAAAAATTTAAATTCATCCAATACTGGTTCATGATTTAATAGCTGCAAAACCAATAACATTCCCATCAGGCTCAGCTGTACTTATTATCAAATGTTAGCATGCTAATATGCTAGTAGAGGCTCACAGCAGCTAGCATGGCTGTAGACTCGGTCTTGCTTGTCATTCTCTCCTGCATTGTGTAAACGTGTACAATACAAACATGGTCCCTCTGTAAAGACAGTTTGTTTTGTGTGTTTGGGACTCGATAGGTTGTTACTATAATTTTGGAGGGTTTTCCTTCTGATAATTTTCACAGGGAAATAATCTTTGTTACGGTCTGGAATTTAAAACGACAGGAGTATCCAGTAGTCTGTGTTCTGAAGACTGCACGCCGAAGGCCACTGGTGACCAGTGTGAAAGACTAATTGAGATCATAATGCACAGAAGAAAACGGACGAACAGTTCCACAGCGTTCATTCCTCATCGTCGGTGGGAGAACATCAAGGTTTTGACTGACGATGGTCGCAGAGCTCCACTTCTCCACCTTTCCTTTGCTGTAAATCTTTCACTTTGTCTTCCAGCTTTAAAGCGTAATCGCAGTTTAGAGACTAATGATTTGGTAAGTGGCTAATAATAGGCCGGCATGAGAGGGAGGGTCCTCTAACGAGCCCTTTCATGTCTCTCCATCTCATTAGTAGCCACGGTGATTAGGAGGAGGTCCTGGGGTTAGAAATGGGCGCAGGAGGCCCCATTACACCTCATTAGGGGCCAACGCCACGAGGCTCTGGAATGAACCCCATGGTGGACCCCGCCCACAGCGGGCATCTGTACCTGCAGGCAGGCCGGCTTAATCCCGGTGTTGTCAAAGGTCTACCTTTGACAACGTGTGTCCGCCTCGGCTCTGATTGTTTGTCTCAAGAGTCGAAAAAGTCTCAGGAGCTTTGGGCAAATGAGTGATATGATTTGGTGTGGAGCTGCTTCTGTCTTTATTTTTGAGCCATTACAACGCAATTAACCAAGATTAAGACATGATTCCAAATCCTGAGGGCCTGTTTGCCGGGTCAAGAAATCAATCCTAATTACAATTTAATAGGAATAGTGTCTGCAAGTTTTTTATTTTAATTCCCTCTTCTTTTT